GTCGGTGTGCCCGGAGGGGCCGCGGTCAGTGTGCCCGGAGGGACTATAGTAGAAGCTTTTTATGACTGTCATCTTGAGAAAACCTGAGTTATGTTTTGTCATGGAATTTTTTTACACAAGAAAATTAAATTGATCTGGGTTTGAGGATTTTTATGAGTAGAAAAACTTCCTACAAGAATCCTCGTCCCCACAACTGAGGAAAAGAGAACAAGCTGGCACCTGGTGGAGTGGTGGGGATTGCTCCCAGAGACGCTGACACTAAGATGTTCATTAGTAATTGGATTGAAACTAGGACATTAGTTACATTATCAGTTCACTGGTTCTAAAGAAGTCAGAAATAGCTTCACTTTGGGGTCAGGGGTTGATGTCACTTGACTAGAAATGTTTCTCTGGAAAACTTTATGAAAGACATCCCCTAGGGGACAAAAGTCACCTCTGGTTAAGAACCACTGATATAATAGGTCTGCGTTGATTTTGTTGGCCTCATAACTCCAAGCCAAAAGGAAGAAACCCAGTTTTGTTCACAAAGAAGTAAAGAATAAAGTGAAAAAGGCATGATAGTTAGGGTCCTTAAGAAGTTCGTGTTTGCCACCAGAAGTTTTAAGTTTTTCTTGTAGAATTCTACAAGTAATTCTGTCAAAAGCCTTGTAGCCTGCACTGTTATCTAAACTGAGTTATGTATAGGTGTATTTCTTTGGTTGAAAGCTAACCATAAAAGGAAGTCATTCTATTCCAGCTTTTTTGATTCTTTATTAAATAAAACTTTATTTTAAAGAAGTAATAGGAACATTCTCTGAGAAGAACAGTTCTCCACAGAATCCAATAAACTAGAAATGGATCCGTTCTTCCGTAGTATAGAAATCGTCTCAAAGAAAATAATTTTTGTAGAATGAAATTTTCAATACACTGGTTTTTCCTAAAGGAAAGAAGTCCTAATTGTAGATATTTTATCTTGTGTGTGTTTTTTGTCTGTAGTTGAGAAATGTGTTGTTGTTTCCATGGGTTTTGAGTCACATAGATGCCTCCACCAAGTCACCATTTCCCCTGTGGCATCCTGCCAGAGTCCCTAAGACGGGAGCAGATGGAGCTCACGAACTCCTGCTTAATTTCTGCCCCTTTCTCGTGGTTGGGTCTCCCACCCCGTGTGGGTCTGTCTTCAGTTTAATTGCTGGCGTGTCTGTGGTTGCGCCATCACACCGGTTGCTTGGGGGCCTTTGTCTAGCTCTGTCTGGTCTGTCTTCACCTCTTCCCTTTCCTACGATTTTCCAGAGGAAAATCCCATCTTTACGATATCCTCACAGTATCCTCCTGTCCTTGTATCACCCGCGTTGAGCATGTTTGTTTTCTCTACTTGTTTACTAGCGAAATATCTAGCTGTTGAGTCCCTTGAATAGCAGACAGGTATTTGAGTAGAGTTCCAAAAAGAATAGACACAAACTCCTGAGTTTATCTATTCTTGAAATATACAGAGATATAGCTAGGGAACCAGGTAACTGTCTCTTCTATGTAAAACATGAAATGGGAAAAGGTTGGAATGTCTCAGAGTTTGCATTGTGTATATTTAAACACCAGTTGTTGCAGGGCGGGGGGGTTCGGTGGTGTTGTTCTCAGTTTGAGGTGTTAGTACTAATATTTGTTGCAGTGTGGGAGCATTGAGTCCGATCAGTTTCAAGGGAGATTAGGAAGTTCGGTGTAGGTAGGGGCTCTGGATAAATCATCCAGTCACTGAATTGGCAATGAAAGATCTTTAAAATGGAAACTGGGAGTTCTCGCCGTGCTCCACGACATTTCTCAGCATCTTTTCTTACTTAGTAATAGCTAAACGTATTCTGTCTTTGGGGTTTGAAGTGTTGGCACACAAGAACAGTGAGATGTTTTCTCTAAAACTCTTGTTTTGGGTGTGAGAGGGAAAATACATATTAACAAGACATTACTTGGACTACTTTTCCCGAACAGATTTTTGGAAACTGGACCTTTGGGACACTGGTGTTCACTGTGATGGTCTTCACAGTCACCCTGAAGGTAAACTATTTTACATTATCCACAATTTCTCTTCTTGCCGCAGTTGATCCCTGCTGCACAGAGGTCTCATCATCTCTGGACTCAGTAGATCCATGCGAGGCTACCACTGGCCACAGCCAAGGCGAACTCCCGTTGCTTCCCTCTGATTCCGTCTTCCGGTTACTTAAAGAAGGGAAGTGCAGTGCCCCAGTCAGCCTGAGTGATCCAGTATGTGAGCTGCCAGAATTACACAGAAGATAAACTAAGGAGTGAATCTTTTTTTTATCAAAAGATTCAGATTAGAATTCTTTTAAATGGCAAGCAGCCTACCCCCAAAATAATGAAAATATGGTTCAATTGAAGTAAATTAAAGTATTTGGAAAATTCAGCTCTTTTGAAAGTCTCAGATTCTATGTAAGCTTTCGTTATGAAAGTCCTAAAACCTACCAACTGAGTCTTAAAAAGTGATGCAAAAAATTCCAAAAGTACTTTTCTTGGGTAGTAATATAAGCAAACACCAAAAACTATAGTCACTGAGTCCAGAGTGTGAGAAGTATGTCCGTGGCTCGATTTCACCCTGGACTCTGGGTGAGAGTTCATTATCAATGTCGTTGTTATAAAGCCTCTGACATCACAACATTGATTTTCGCCCTTGGAATGTAAGATTTTGTTTGTTTTGCTTTTCCTGAGAAGCTTTATGTAGACATTTTGGCTAAAATTCAGATGGTTTGTGGGTGTGTTTGGCTTTGTTTCCGTTTTCTGACTTTCTTTGCTAGATTTTCTGACTTTCTTGCCCAGTTGTTGTGGCTCCTGCTGACTTGGCCAGGTAATCCCATGCCATTCTTAATCATCTTTTTTTTTCTTCTAGCTTGCATTAGATACACACTACTGGACTTGGATAAACCACTTTGTCATCTGGGGCTCACTGCTGTTCTACATAGTCTTTTCCCTTCTCTGGGGAGGAATTGTCTGGTATGAATTTAATAAATATTATGTAACCATTATTACCTTAACAGTCCTGGGGTATCTTTCATCAAGGGCTCAAAAGCATTTTGTGTACAAGTAACCTCGTTCATGTGGCAAGTATTGTTGAGTGTCTGCTGTGTGCTGGGCGTTGTGCTAGGTCCCAGGATGTGGTTGGGGGAGCAAGACCGGTGTGGCCTCTGGGTTTCTGAGCTTCCATTCTCAGTGGGAGGGACTGATAGTAAATAATGGCGTGCGTGAGTTGTGTAAGGTATATGGGGGACAGACCAGAGTCCTATAGCAAGGGACCTGTTTCAGATGCAAGGTCAGAGATGGCATTTTAAGAGTGAATGTTTAAAGACTGGAAGAAAATCATCATCATCATCGTAGTAGAAAAAACCAGTTGTCTTCAAGTCAATTCTGACTCATGGCAATCCCATGTGCTGCAGAATAGAACAGCTCCATAGGGTTTTTCAAGGCTGTGACTTTTTGGAAGCAGATTGCCAGGCCTTTCTTCCTAGGCACATGGTAAGTTGTTGATGGGTTGTAAATAAAAGAGTGACAGTCAGCTTGTGCTTTTAAAAAGATCCCTGTGGCTGCTGTGTTGAAAATGCTTTAGTGAGTGCAGGAGCCGAACAGGAAGACCAGTTTGGGGACTATGTCGTAAACCAGCCAGGAGGTGAGTTTCGTGTCCTGAGGGAGAGAGAAGAGGCAGGATTTGACGTCTGTTTTGCTAATATTACACCTGTGCCTTTGCTCATTCTGTCCTTCTGTCATGGATGTCCTTCCCAGTTAGCCTGCCAGTTAGCCTACCAGTTAGCCTGCCAATTAACCTACCAGTTAGTCTGCCAGTTAGCCTGCCCGTTAGCCTACCAGTTAACCTAACAGTTAACCTGCTAGTTAGCCTGCCTTCAAGACTCTCTGTGCTTTCTCGTCTGTGATGCCCCTCCCTCCCCCCAGACTGTCATGGGTGGTGCAATGCCACCTCCGCCCCTAAGCATTCCTTCATGCGGCTGTTACAGCGCGTACCGTGTTTCTCTGTAAGTCTCCTGTTCGCATGTCTGTCCTCCCCATAAGACAGAGCAGTTCTTGAGCAGGGCTGGAGCTGAGCTGAAGTAAGCTGGGTGCCAGGGCTTGAACCTAACAGTGAGTGCCTCCTTCAGTCTCACGCGTGTGCCTTGTCCTAGTCCAGGCCTGGCCTTGAGGCCAGAAGCAATGTTCTCTCTACCTGGTGTCTCCAGCACTGAGCACAGCACCTGGAACATAGTCGGCATCCTCTGGGAAAAAAAAAAAAATCAATGAAAATGCTCTTTAATTATTGTCCCTACTATTGGATGTTGCTAGTATCCATTCCCTTTCTCTCATTCAATTGGTGACCCCTAGTGGCCAAATGATGTATTACCTGATTCTTTTAAGACCTGGAAATACAGAAAAGCTTTTGGTGTGTTTCCAACAACGCTGTCCAAAAACTAAAGAGCCTTGCAGCTCTAGTGAACTTCTGGATGCTGTGGCTGGGTAAGAGGAGTATGTCATCCTGAAAACTTCTCTGATTAACTACTGGGGCCTTTGACTTCTTAGGCCTGATGGCTCTGTCGGCCTCAATAAAGGGTCCAGATGGCATTTTGGGGGGCATCCTATTTCCTAGAATTTTGATACTAGAACTGCCTGGGATTGTATTTAGGGCTTCTTCATTCCCAGCTCCCACGCCTCCGTGGAGGGAAATTTGACGTAGCGTCTCACCACGCTTAGATGTTAGGAACCAGTAGCTCTGCTACAGCGTGGTGATAAAGCCGCAGCTTCCTGTCCTCAGGAGTCACCTGAGGTATTGTCTCTCCCAGGAGGCACTTCAGGAGTTTCTGGTCTTCTTGATGCTTCTGTGGTTCTCGTGGGCATACCTTGATCATTAAATTCACCGTGCTGTATTCTCATTTTCTGTTGAGTTGTCCAAATCCCCAGTTTAACTGTGCTTTTCATGGAGGTGGGAACTTTGTCTCTGGCTCTCTAGTACTGTTCATAGTGCCTGCCACGTGAAACGTGATCAACACACGTTAATTGGAAAAGTATATGAAAAATAAACTTGGATACCTCAAGTTCAGCACTGTATCATTGCTTCCTGCATCTTTTTCCAACTTCTTTCTTGGAGTTCAATGTGGGTATTTTCTTTGAATTATAAATTTGCTTGGTGGGAAGTCATTTGATAGCCTGTGTTTTTATAGAAAATTCTTAAATACTTTTAGGACAGAAGCGTAGGTAGCTAACCACAGCTGTGCCAATCAGAACTCTTGCACGTCTTCTCCGTGTTAATAACCATTGATCGGGTTGTGATTCTAGGATGGAAGAAAATCAGCTATTTTAATCTTTTTTTTTTTGGTATTCTCTAACTGAACTTCAAGGTCTTGTATTTTCTCTTTGGGATGATGTCATAGACTTCTTTTTTTTTTTTCCCCAGTCATAATTCCCAAATCTTAGAGGAAGTTCTGTGTCTCATTTTTTATATAATCAAACAAAAGCAGGCAGGCTAAAGGGTTTGCCGGTGGCCTCAGAAGAAGTGACTGTCAGTAACAAGTAAACACCACCACAACAGACAGCATCTTCGCGCAAGTAGAGAAACAAAGAGCGAGTTTTCAGTGTCTTCCTGACGACGTCTAACCTACCATTGTGCTTCTTTTTCCTTCATCTTCCAGGCCCTTCCTCAACTATCAAAGGATGTACTACGTGTTTATACAAATGTTGTCTAGTGGCCCTGCATGGCTGAGCATCATTCTGCTGATTACTGTGAGCCTTCTTCCTGATGTTCTCAAAAAAGTTCTATGTAGGCAGCTGTGGCCCACCGCAACAGAAAGAACTCAGGTACGAGGGCGCTTCTCCCATCCGGGGAATCACTGCATGCTTTGGTCTCCTAGTTTTAAGGCTGAGAAATACTAATTATAAAAGATAGTATAAAAGGCTTGGGTTTCATAAAAAAGTGATCAGTCCAAGTATTACTAATGAGTTGCATGATGATAAATGATTTTAAACGCTAAATTAGGTGAAATTCAAGATGACCGATGTTTAATTTTACATTCAAACCTAAAATAGTTGGTCAGCTGAAATAAGAAAAAAAAAAAACACAAGAAAATTTAAGCCAATACAAAAAACTAATTATGTAAATCCAAAAATTTTTCTAAATTATTCATTAGAGGTCAAATCACAATTTTTAAGGGTGGTGAATTCTGCTGAACTTTTTAGCTTGTATGTTAGGAGATGCTGGTTATTGATAGGGCTACTTATTTTCCATTCTCCCAAGATCATGGCTAACGAACCGAATCCCCGTTTCAGGAAAGAAAGGGCTTTTGCACAATGCCTGCCCTGGTGCAGGGCGCCAAACAGGCGGGCACCACCTGCTTTGTGATTATTGGCGTCTCACCTGTGTTTTCAGGAGGGTGCACATCCCTTCGTCTACACGTGCTCCTGGCACGCTTGATCGTTGCCGTGAGCGTCAGGATTTGGTGGGAGGTTGAGTGGGAGCTCCCCCCGCTCGTGACTCAGTAGCCTCTGGTGGGTGAGAATGAAGCCCACAACCCTCCTGGCAGGGGGAGGGCTTGTGTAACCACCTACTTGCCAGAGCTGACTTTCTCCTTTTATCTCTCCCCTTTTCACTGTGTCACCAGGAAACCTGATTGTTGACTGGGGGCGAGATAATTATTTTCCTTCACATTGTGATCTGGGATTCACCCGTGCTGCAGTCACTCAGAGAGTTTATGAAAAATTTGGATTTTGAAATTCCATCCCCAGAAATTTTTATTCTTTCTGTAGATGTGGGACCCTAGAGTCTGCACTTTAACTAGCTCCCCAGTCCATTTTTATGTCCCCTGAAGTCCACAGCCTCAGTAAAGAAAAAGAAGGGATCCTGATGAAAGAGATGAAGCCACAGCAGTAACTGATCCTGCAGGACAGGCATCTTCCCTTCTAGAGCACAGGGTGACTGTCCCAGGTAGAAAGAAGAGAGAGTCCGAGGAGTGGAGGACAGCAAGGGAGGGTGTAAGACAGAGGAGATACGTGGCAGCTACTTGGTCAGGCAATTAGTGTATTTTAGGACAAATATTTATTGACTTTTTAAAAAACTCAGATGACATTAGTGGCTTAAACTTCCAAATGGTGTTGGCCAGTGTTTGTAGTGGAAAATAGGTAGCCCTGCGTTGGGATTAGGGTATGGTACGTGTTAATGCGTATGCCCCATCTATCACTGACCCCAACAATTTGAATTGAATCCTTGTTTGTAAGCTTTCTTAGAGCTTTTGTGTTAATTTATGATGTTGAAACCCAGTGCCACAGTTCCTAGTATTTCCCTTCTTTATGCCTCCTGTCATAGTTTCTAAAATCAGTATTTATAAAAACTCAAGAAGAGATCTCTTCTCAGTAATAGAAAAAATATATACACAGAGAATTTCACTATACATTTTTTTTTTTAGTTACTGCCTTTAAACAAAAGTAGTATAAGACAGAATCTTTTCAGGAATTACAGCCCTTTCTCCCTTTTATCACAAGTAGAAGAAATATACATTTCACACTGCCCCTCCAGAAAGGGTGAAATCCCAAGCAAGACACGGCACTCCCAAAGGACTTCTGCACAGAGGGCTAAGGAGCTTCACTGCTGACCGGCCAGATGGGGCAGGCTCTGGTGTTAGGGCAGCGAAAGCAGGAAACTCTGAGGGCATCCCTGGATTCAGCTGCCCGGCTGTGCTTTAATGGAGTTTATTAAACGCCACCGCCAACCCCAACCAGCAGCATCCTGCTACCACCTGCCCCTTTTTTATTTTTAATCCCTGAGAAGAAACTGTAGGATACCACCTTTTGTCTAAATGAGGTCTTGAGTTCGTGAGCTCTTTTTTGGTGATGCAGCTACATGGCAGAAGTAAGTGTTCATGACAGATAGGTCTTGCACATGAAGAAATACATGCAGAGTTGTGGGTTTCACCCCAGGAAAATGTGGGTTCCTGCTCAGGCTGGTGTAAGATGGGGAAACCTTGCAAAGGCAGGTCAGTTTTTCTGAAAGTGTGTTCTGTGGAACACTTGATCTGCGGATATTAATAGATGTTGGATGGTGCCATGGTCAAATAAGTTTGAGAATGGTAGAGTTCAGTGTTGTTAAAAGGGTGTCTTACTGCAGGACTTCTCAGAGCCTTTACTGTGCTGATGTCACTGCAGTTTTCAAGAGGGACGGATGTAGAAAGCTGTGCCTCTCGAGTATATTCGACCACAGGCCCCCTTGTTATATGGTGACGGCAGCTGGTTATTGGCTTATTGCTATTGCAGGCCTTTGTATTCCATGAGAGTCAGGAGTAACCATTATTAGAAACCAAAAAAACAAAACTCAGGAGGCATAATGCTGGGATGGAGCTGGCGGTGTCGTTGGGAATGCCGTCACTCGGTCTTGATGGCGGCGTCTGTTTGCTTAATCAGCATGAATGTACAGCAGGAGGTTGTTAGCTTTTAACTGGACTCACCGCCTTGTGTTGTCTCTCTTCTCCCTGTCCTCGTCTCCTTGTGTCTTCCAACCTGCTTCCCTAAATAACCACTACTTGTTTACCCGTAAATGATGTGCATGGCCCCCTCCTGAACCTGCTGGGACTAGCAGACTAAACATCAGTGCCTTTCTGTTGAGCAGTCCACCATCTTTATACTTTCCCAGACTTCCAGCGGTCTGAGTTTCTAATGGAACACAAGGTGACTCTTTTTCTGCCTTTTTGCATGGTTGGGATTATATCCACAGGATGACAGAGCTAATGATAACGTGTATCTTGAGACATGGAAGTTGAAGACGGGCTGTACTTTCTATCAGCAGCTGTAGCTGGTGTTCCTCAGTGTCCATTAGCGGTACCAGATTTCACCCGCACCATCAGCGAGGGTCAGATTGCATCTTTATCTCGGCACTAGGAGTGACTAAGAGCTGTGCCATATTAAACTCTCACCTTTACAGATTAGTTACGTATACATAAACATCTGGGTGTTTGCAGTTTAGAAGTCAACTTCTTACACATCATAAAAGCCCTTGGACAGAGTTGTACCAGTGCCAGCCTTGTCTCTGTAGCCTATAGAGAATGAGTAACTACACCTCCATTTGTACCCAAAACCAGCCAGACCCACGGCTGTCCATCGATTACAACTCATAGCAACTACAGGACAGAATAGAGCTTTCCCCATAGGATTTCCAAAGCTGTAATCTTTACAGAAGCAGACTGCCACATTTTTCTCACACAGAGCAGCTCGTGGGTTTGAACTCCTGACCTTTCAGTTCGCAGCTGAGTGCTTTACGCACTGCACCACCAGAGTGCCTTCCATTTGTTCAGGACACTAGAATTCAGTCAGCACGCTCACTTCTGCAAACTCATTGAATCTCAGCACAACCTGGGAGGTTGGTATCACCATCCTCATTGTGCAGATAAGGAAGCTGAGGACCAACGACGTCGAGTGACCTGCTCAGGGCCCCACAGAATGTCAGCAGGAAAGTCAAGATTCAGGCTAAGTCGTACTGACTCTGATAAAGAGGACCCCAAGAAAGTGTTTTGTATCAAATATTTTATCAAATTGCTGTTTAACCTTATTTTTTAAATCTGGTTGTTTTTGGAAAAAGCCTTCAAATTAGCCTTAAATTACAGCAGTGGCTTATTCCTCAGGAATATGGAGCCATTTACACAGCATTTTTCTGTGGAAGATGCATCCAGAGCTGAGATTCCAAGAGAAGAGATCACTGTCTAGAGGCAGATCCCCGTCTAGAGGCAGATACCCGT